AGGAAAAAAAAAAAAGAAAATCTCACGACGTACTACAATATTTCTCCCGTCAAGAACCAATCGAGCACCATTCTCAACAAATGTTTGGATGACTCTGGATATGCGCTCCTTAACCTGAATATACGAGCTAATGGAGATTATGAAGTATACTATGATTTAATAAAAATAATAATAATATTTCAGCATTAAGAATAAGCAAAATTATCCATTATCTAACCTGCCTGCTGATCACAGGACCAACATCCACACCTGGTTCACTTCCAGCACCTACCGTGAGACCCATGGCCCGCTCCACGAGTTTGTCTACACTGAGGGAATTAAAACATTTCGAAATATAATATTATTTTCCACATGGGAGTCTGTGTAAAAACGCCTTGCAATAAAGTTGACCCAAAATATGATAAGCAATTGAAGTATACGAATATAGACATTGCACAATCAAGGTTAGAAAGAAATTTTATATAAATCAATTATTAAGTACCAGGAATTTGATCCTCCAACAGAAATAACCGTACTGATTGATGTACACCTCTGTACTGCAGAACCAAAACCGGCAGAGACTAAAGCGTTTAAAGTAGCATCCGTATTTGCGTCGGGCATGATGACAGCAAGACTCTTTGCACCAACATTTGTCTGAAGAAAAAGATCAAGGATCACTGAGGAAAAAAATAAAAAGGCAATTCTAAGCAAGAGCACGCTCCATTGGTGAAGTGAAGAGAAGATACTTTTACCTGAACATGTTTGTAGTTTGCAGATGCCCTTGCATGAACATACATCCCGGGCTGGGTGCAGAAAATCATGTGAGCCCTTTTATAATGTTAATTCACAAATGACTAAGCAACTATACATATATGTATGTGCGCGAGGTCAAAGATTATCGACACACAATCGGTTTTGTTGTGCCGAATGAAGGGCTATAAATATAATACACGCTCTAAGAGGCGAAAAGGTACAATAGGATGCTAAAAGAACTCACTGCATCTGATCCAATGTAAGACACAACTTTGATTTCATCATCATCACAGATGGCATCAATTATGTCCTACACAATATCGAAAAAGAATAACCAAATTGGTTGACATAAAACAAAAATCAAAGAGAGGTCCTAACGCAAGCTCGGAGCATACATTAGTCCCATGAATAATATTTAGGACCCCACTTGGCAAACCAGCCTCCATTGCTAACTCAGCAAGGTGTACACAAGCCCCTGAAAACAAGGCAGGATTGGGGTATTGGTGATTACATAAACAGAAAACAGAAAATTATTTCATATCAACAACAATGGCAAAACTTTTGGCAAAAAAAGAACTTTTATGTGTGTGTGTGTGTGTGTACCTGGTGCTTTCTCAGATGGCTTTAATATAAAGGTATTGCCACACGTAACGGCTACTGGAAACATCTGCAGAAGAATTGCCGAGCAGTGAGAATAAGAGTACCACTGAATTACGAGGCTTGAAAGTAGTTTCAAGAGATGACATAAAGACAAAAAAACATAACTTTAAATTTTACCAGAAGCGTTTTCACAATCCACATGTACTTTTTGCAGTCAACAAGCAAACATAACTCCGTTCTCAACCTCAATTTCCAGTTAGAAATTAATAAAATATACTTCTGTTGGATTCTTCGGATAATGGCAGTGTCGATGCACTGAAAATGCCACTATGTGATGTTAAGGTTATGTTAGGAATTCTCTTTCGAGGATCAATTCTTTTTTCCCAGTTTGTATAAGAGCAATCCAGCAGTTCTTCCTTCAAAAAGTGCAAAATTGGTCTCTCTAAATGGCTCCACCTTATTAAAATAATCTTCAGATGTGTGAGAAATAAATTCATATTCATATGCTATCTGATTAGACGATGCTTATCACACAATCTTCTTGTCTTTGCTTCTGGTATTTCTTTAATTTAAGACAGTTTCCCATTATCAATGCAACGTCAACTCTGATTATCTCTACTATTGTTCACACTTTTGCCGAAAACTACCGTAACAAGTTACAGTTAACAGAACCATATTAGTAATACTTTAGTAGTGCAGTGAGAGAGATAAAAGCATACAAGTAATGGGATCATGGCAGGAAAATTGAAAGAGCATATCCCAGCACAAATGCCAAGGGGCTCACGGATGTTATAAGTGTCAATTCCATATGATATATTTGACAAGAAGTCCCCGGAATGCAAATTTGCCATCCCACAAGCATGTTCAACAAGCTCTGCAATAAACATAAAATAATGAAATGACCAGTTGTAGCACCAAGAAGGCTTAATTCTAATAATTAACGAAAAATCTCACAGATCACAAAGCTATTCTCTTTTCGCAATCAGTATTATATTTAAGTAAGCTAAATCATGATCCAAGATACAAAAAAATCCAGATCACAAGATTTCGACTTCCACTTTCTGATTCTGCAAAAAAACATTTGACAAACAACTGGAAGAAATACAGAAATAGATGGGCAGAATTTCCAGCAATCTAGAGTATTTTTAAAGTTCCATTTCAGTCCATCTACATAGAAAAACAAATGTTTAAACTCCAGGTACCGTATGAACTTACCAATCCCACGGGACACGTCATTAAAGGCATCCTTCAAAGTTTTGCCCTGTTCTGCTGTTATAACCGCAGCAAGCTTATCCTGGATAACAATTTAACGATGATTCCAGATACTGAATATTCAAAAGCTGCAACTGGGAAAAAAAAGAGTTCAACAAGTTTACAATATCTCGACGGATAAGCTCTTGAAGCTTGAACATAATGCGTTGGCGAGTTGTAAAGGGAGTATTTCGCCATAACGTGAAAGCTCTTTTCGCTGCAAATACTGCAGCCTTAAGTTCCTCACCTGTGGATAAGGGGACTTGCACAAGCACTTGCTGTGTAGCCTGTGATTGATTTACAAACTAATTAACGGCAGAAACTTACGAAAACGCAGACTCGTAGCACAAGTAAAATTTTCATCACTCACGGGGTTTAATACATCTATGGAAGTTAATGATTGTGAATCGATAAACCTACCACCAATGAGGTTCGGGACTCTCTGCAAGACAGGAAATTAATACTTAATTAAAAATAAATAGATTAGATGTAGTACTGAAAGTCAGGTAGCAGCCAAATTATAGGGCATGATAATAAAAATAAAAATTACCGGTGGATAACGTCTCTTCCATGATGGCTCCGAAGATGATGATGGCTCAGAGTAAGCCTCAACTGCTGCAGTGAGTGTCAACGTCTTCAGTCTTCTCACTGTCTCATATGACATAATAAAATGTTTTAACAGCGATTACATTCGGTTCTCTACCTTTGGGCTGTGAGAAAATAAAACCCAGTGACTAATATTATAGAAGAGGTTTCAAAAATCAACAAATCTCACAGAAGGAAAATTTATATAATCATCCGCTCGGAGTCTGTGATAGCTATTATCCAATTTTACAGACATGATCATCTCCTCTTTCTTTCAGTAAAAATATCACAAACAAATTAAAAACACACGAGTTACCATTCAACTAATCTGAAGTCATAAACAACTATAAAAATCATTGGAGGTCTGCATATCACAGTGAATTAATTGAACATATCCACCGTGAGAAATATAAACAGTAACAACAAAAAGTAAAATTACCCCCGAATTTGACAAAAAAAAAGTTTAGAGGAAACTCATACCCGTGAGATTCCCCTGACGGAGCTTGGCTTTCACGTTATAAACATGCTTAGGCGTAGACGAAAGCTCGGGATTCGTCTGCCTGAGCTTCTTCAGTATCTGACGTGGCTTCAACCCGGCCTCCGTCATTTCTTTAATCAGTATAATTTCCTTCTCGTTGAACCTACGGGCAGAAGGATGTTCTGACATGTCCTTCATCGGCTCATGATTGTGTGAGCTGTTCTTAACAGAGAGGACCCACAGGCCGTCCTCCTTCTTGCCCACGAGCTCAAAAGGGCAGTTTGTAAGCCGGGAACCGGACTTCCTTTTTCTAGTGGGCTCGGCTTGGGCCTCATCGGCGGGCTTACGCCTGTCCCGATAGACACCCCCTCTGTCACATCCAAGGACCACGATTCTTTCTTTTTTGGACTGCTTGATTGTGACGACGTAGCCCTGTGAGACAGCAAACTCACCAACGTGCTGAATTAGCTCTTCACGGTCGATGAAGCTGCCGGGAGGGGGCGGGAGCATCTGTGGAGTCTCGTCCAGCTCCATGTGACTGAAAAGCGTGTGTATATATATGGTGAAGTCAATATAAGCTCTATAAAGCGTGGAAAACTGAAAATTGTGTGTGTATATATATATGTATGCATACGAAGCAAATAGTTAGATAAGTATAAGCTAAATAGAAGCATGCAGATTCTTGATAACATATGTATAATGATCTCCATATAACTCTATGCTTTCAGAACAAAATACGAACACAGGATGGTGATGGACATTGTGGCTTACACTAATGAGGAACAAGTTTTCAAATCATTGAACACTTGCCAATTCTATCTTGAAAAATGCCGTTCGGTTAATTATGTCAGGTTGTGTCAACAGTCACCAGGATGTGAAGATGTAAAATAACCATCTGAATTCAAATTCTACTATGGTCTATGAAGTTTAGATATATCTTCAGAATGTGTTTTTTCATTTTGAAATCAAATACAATCAGATAAGCATAATCCTTCACCAGCTCGAACTGCAAGTGCATTCAACACCACAAGAGATTCTTCAATTTGTGTTCTTTATCACAATCTTATCAACCCATTCAGAGCACTAGTGGTTGGCCGATCAGCGTAACGCAGGAAAAATTGTTCTTCATTCCTCATTTTACATAAATAATACCTAAAGTTCTATAAGAACAAACTGCACGATCAACTCTGCCATCGCAAAACTACATTTCACCAAATCATTCCATCACGGGCAATAATATACATATGTAAACTTATTTATCTATCACAAATTCTTGTATGAGGCAACCAAACCGTTAGGCGGGTCGACCCGTCACTTTTTAAACGAAAATATTTATTTACATATTTTACATACAAGCGAGAACGGCAAAAATGGTACAATCATATGAAACTTCACGATCACAAGACTTGGGCACTTGTTTTCTTTCCAGAAAAAGTCACTAATCAAACTGGGTTCATCGTAAATTATATAGTCCAAAATTTTTAGAAGACGGTTTTACCGGCAAATTGGGGGTTCGACGGAGACTGAACGGCAACGGCAAGGTTCACTTTTCCGGTCCGGGAAATGAGAACGGTTTCTGTTATATTTCTTTCTCCTCGGGAATTTTTTTTTTTTTATTATTATTTGTATTTTTATTTTTGTTCTGTGAGCAGTGTGGAAGCAACGATGGAGAAGTGGAGATAGCGATAACCCTAATTTTATCACATTTTTTTGTTTCTTTTGTCCGAATACTTTTCTCTCTAAAACCGTAACATTCGTCAACGGGTCGGTAAAACCCGGACCATTAGCCCGAAAAAGGTGAAGGCCATTGGGGAAATACTGAGATTTGTTAGGGAGTATAATTCAGTTATGTTGGTAAAAACTCAATCTCGAATTATTCATATAATAAAATATAAAATAAAAATCTATATATCTATATATATATATAAAAATCTATATCATTTTTAAATGACAGGTCAATTTTTGGTCAAATCTCTTTCTTCATTAATTATTTACTATTAATGGCAATTTCTTTTCCCTTTTTTTTTCACGTTCAGCTATTAAATGCCCACAAAATGCGGGAGATTTTCAGTAATTAATTTGGTATAAACATTACCAAAAAATGCGACTCAATTTTCTTATAATGAATATTACACTTTAATGATTACTATTTGCTTAATTTTTTTATTTTTTTTACATAATATTGCATAAAATTTTATTCGGAAAATGTATGAATACAATTATATTTGATATTTGACTTTTTTTATATAACACGTGTATTAATATTTTTTGACATGACATAAAACTATTTTTTTTTTAATAATTACAACTTTTTAAGCACGTGTTTTTATGGATACATTTTTATTTCTAATTACCTAACATATAAGTTAGTAACACGATTTTTTTTTCTGTAAAGAATCTTAATTTTAAGGGAAAAATAAAATTATATTGTTTTTTAATTAGCTCTATTTTTATGTTTTAATTATATTGTTTCCATCTGTTGGGACTCTTTTAAAGGGTTTTATATTCTAGATATCTAAACAAAATTAGAGTTATAATTTCACATAACCTAACCACTTTTTGTTGTAAACAAATCCAATTTATATGGAATTCTAAAATTAAACATACTTTGTAATCAACTATAATTTTTATAACCATTTTTTTATGTTTAATTGAATTTAAAATTATATTGTTTCCAAGTTTTGGGATTCTTTTTTTCAGTTTTGGCTTTATTTTTTATTTTTTATTTTTTAATTATGGAAATCTCTACATACCAGTTTATAAAATGTAGTGGTTAAAAACAAATCCAACTTATATGGTATTATAAAATTAAACATATCAGTTATGATATGTAGATCGATAATTTATAAGTTTAATTAAATATTAATTACACGGTTTCCAACTCTTGGGACTCTTTATTGTTTTCAGATTTTAATAATGTACATATTCTTATAAATACGGTTCTTCTAAATTCATTCTCATCTACATATTTGCAAAAACGTTTTCCATTCGGCTTTACCCAAATTCTACTTGTATTACCGTAAAAAAACGGCCATCGACACTGAAATGTCGAATAATATATTAGAGCAAGCTCCTTGCTTGCAGAAATTTATGATTTGACAATGCATTTATCCTGAAAATTTAATTTAGAAAATCACATTTTTCTCATTGTTGTGCAATGTCCAATTAACTAAAATTAGCGTTATTATATTTTATGTATTTTTACATTTATATTGCACAAGTTAAAATCTAAATGTATATTTATCATCTAATCCTATGAGCTTATGTCCAATGATGACTTACATGAAATATCTGTTGATAAAAATAAAAAATAAACTAACTTTGAACAAAAATTAAGATAGATAGTTTATTCATAAAAAATTAATGAAAAACAAACAAACCAATTTTGTGTCGAACCTGAAACATTGCAATTATTATTTTCAAAACAATATAGAAATATTAAGGAAAATTTTATATTTATTTACAACCTTATTTTGATTTATTTGATGGTCAACCTAATAATTGTTGTATGTAATTTTTTGTTTTATTTGGAGAAAATTGTGAAATACTATGAAAAAGGGAGAGTGAGAGAAATTAGAGGGAATCATTAAATGATGTTTCTATCTATAAATTATTCAACTCATTAATAAGGAAGTTACATGATTCAAACTAAAAACATACTTTATTAGTATAACTAGGAATGTACAATAACTATCTTCATAAAATAGGAATGAAAAAGTTAAACTTGGAATAAAATATAATTTATAATATCGTTGGAAATTAGAAAAATTGTCCAAGCGTTGGGGCAATTTTTTTGGCGACAACAATCAACATCTGCAGCTCATGATAGAAGCCCAACAAGGGAGCCCAGTTGAGTGAGGCCCAATTTCCGCAACCCTTTGTGCAGCCCGCGTCCGGCCGGAGTCGCCATGTGCTCCTCACAACAAGTTAAACAATAATCAAACTCATATGTTGTATACAAAGAAGTTTTTAATAATATAAGATTTTTTAGTGACGAACATTTTATGATGAATAATGTTCGTATTTATTAAACTCTCATATATAATACATGTCAAATTATAATATTCTCTAAATTTATATATCCGTGCATTGCACGGGATACGCACTAGTTTAATTCAAACGTGCCGAGCTTTAATGATTATACTCAATTTATTAAATGATCTGAGCCACCAAACATGCTCATTTATTAAATGAGCACAAATTCGAACACGATATATTCGACTCAATTTTACTTCAATAATATCACTAAGGTTATCTGTAAAAATTAAATGTGTGATATTTTCTTAAATGTTTAATGTAAAATTACAAAACGAATGAAAAACAAATTACTAAAAATATGTAATGTTGCTTCAGTAAATTAAAAACATCTTTATAGGCGTATTTATACGAAGATCGATTGCATTTTACACAAACTTGTAGATTTATTTTGTTGATATAGTAATTTTTTATTCAAAAAATAGTACAGCCTCGTAATTTCTTCTTGCCTACTTAAATTTGACTTATAAGAACAATATAACTTATTTCAAATATTATTATGAGATAAACGTTTTATTAGGCAGGTCAACCCAACATACTTGTTATATGATATTTTATTTAAATTGTGAAAGTCCAAATGTCATTTTATTGAATAGGCATGTTAACTCAACATACTTGTTATATGATATGTTACTTAAAATGTGGAATTTCAAATTTTCTTTCATTGAATATGCTATGCAAATTAATTAAATTAAATTATATATTTAACATATAAAGTAATATAAATAATGTAAATTAATTGTGTCTTAAACCAAACATAAATAAATGAAAACAAAGAAGGAAAAATGACAAAGTAAACTATAACCACAAAAAAAAAAAAACATATGAAAAGTTTGAGTCATGTTCGAAAATAGTATTTTTTTTGGTTTAATATAAAATAAATTTGAATTAATATGAACTAATAGATTTATCATGAATTAAACTAATAAAATATGGGCTAAAATATTTTTTTACTACTAAAATCTAAGACCAGGCTGGAGCCCGGGTGAGCCACCCCTATCTACGCATCTAAATTGAAACTAAAAAATTATATTTTAATGAATACCTATCTAACTTATACAAAATTGAAAATTAACAATCTTGGCCACTGAAAATTTAGAAACCATTCGAAAAATCCTTCAAAATGACTGCATGCGAGGATATCAATTGTGATACGCAATACTCTTACCTGCTTGTAGACCAGTGATGTCACGAACCGCCTTCCGACTTGAGTTCTGATGCCTACAAAATACGTTAGGAAAAATCCTGACGGTAAATCTTCTAACACTCGAGTCAGAATTTGTCTGTGATTGTTATGACCTGGAGTATATAATATGTGATAAAATCATAAAAATATACTTAGTAACCTCCTCTTATATGAAGGTTGTCTTCTGGTCCACGCAATCTTATTACTAAGAAAGAGATATTTTCTAATCATATTTTCTAGTACAATACGCCTCTCAGATCTTCTAACCCTCAGCGAGATAGACTTACCGAATATGTTTCCATGTTTCTTAGGA